GCACTAATGCTTTTATTCTGCTGGACTGATGCTTCTTGTCAATGCAAATAAATGTTGACTTGTCAAGTTGTTGCTGCAATTTTCTTTGGCATAGTATAAGTTGTTTTTGCATAGGGGTGGACTCGAGTCACATGACTTGGGCTCAAGTCAAATTTGATGACTTTAGACTCAACAGAATCAAAAGAGACTTGCAACTCCATTTGGAGTTAACCACAAATGACTTGAGACTTTACTTGTACTTGAGCCTTTTGACTTGAAATTTGATTTAAAATGTTTGCCATGATTCGGTTCATTTCCCTTCATAACGTTAACACTAGTAATTCCCAGCAAGTCAACAGTTGACTCCACAGATGATTCACTTTGTTTTAAAACCAATCCGACTGCATCCAATCAAGTTGCAGGAGAGACCCATGAAGAACTAATGATACGTTATCGAGCGCCAGTTTGAAAAATAAGTTTATTTGCGTACAAAAACTACACAGTGGTCAAAATAAAAAAACAAACAAAAATGCAGTAGCTATGCAAAACATGCGAGTCAATTACAGATGGAGACACAACTTCTAAGTTTGTTCGACATTTGAAATTGCACAAAGAACGGTAAGTCAAGATTAACAATAACATAGTGAGCTGTAATTGGCTAGCGTTATTGAATGAATGAATTACTGTAAAAATAACAAACGTAGCTTCCATGGCGCCACCCGTTGGTTTGTGGACTCCCATTTTGAAGACTCAAGTTCAGCATAGCTGTCACCATCTTGGTTTCTTGGAGCCAGAGGTGACCGTATTTGGAGCTGGAGCTGGAGAGGAGTGAGGGGTGGATCTGACTGAGAAGCCGAGGACAAGCCTGTAACTCAAAGTGGCCACGCCCTTAATTATGTGTAACTTTAAGCCTTAATGAAATGTAAACAGGTGAGTTATGTAAAAATTAATCCCCGTTCAGTTGTCATGAATGTTGAAATTAGCTACAGAGACCAAACTCGTTATGTATATCAGGCTGTAAATGTGTTTATTTCTGCTGTGAAGTTGGGCATTTTAACATGGGTGTCTGTGGGGGTTTATTCTCTTCCAGAGCCAGCCTCAAGTGGCCGTTGGAGGAACTGCAGTTTTTGAAACTTCTGTGTTGGCTTCATTTTTCAGCTCCAGAGGCTGCCATTTGTGAAGCTCACATTATGACTTGTGCTAAGATTTAAGACTTACTTGTGACTTGGAAAACATTGACTTGGTTCAACCTTTGTGTTTTTGTGTCTATTCAGAAGTGCCTCTGCAGCTTTTGATCCCTTCACATGACTTTCCACAGTAAAATATGTTTGCCTAGTTGTCAGATTTCTATTTTCTCAAATTTCTTCTCATCCATGTTTGAAACTCCATCTCCTGAAGATCATGATTTATTATCAAAAGCTCTGGCTACTAAAAAGACAGTGAGGTTGAGATTTTCTTGTCAAAAATAAACTTAGACTCTGTGATTTAAACTACTTAACACCCACACCCACATCCAAAATCTATATTTTGGGTGTGTTTAAAATACTCTCTGTGGGCAAAAGTATGTGGACACCTTACAGACACACACGTAGAGGGGTTAACATGTAATATTTGCAAAATCTGACTTCACTAGTGTAGGAAAAATACATCCTGGTCTCACAGAAATACATGAAATGACCAGGACCTCTTAACAACACATTACATAGTGGTGGCATGTAAGAAAATGCCAGTGAAAAGTCAGTTAGGATCCTTTGTTGTGGTGAACAACGTTGATGAAAAGTAACCCCGTAGGTAGTGTAAAGAGCATCAAAGTCTGCATAGAGGTTGTGGTGGTGGACGAGTCAAACAAACACAGGACTTTAACCCAGGAGACCACAGTTTGTGTCCCAAAAGAAACCAGTGGTGCCTTTCAATATGATCATACTATTTAGTATGCCACAAAAAGATTTAATATGTCCCAATACATTATACCTTAAATGCAATATGCCAAAAACACAAGGATGTCCTACAGCATGCTTTTCTAGCTCGTCTGACCCATAATCCTTTGCACAGCGGAAGATGCACATTGACTGAGCTGTGGACAGATGATTGACAACTGGTTGAAGAAGCTGCAATAATGGATGACAGCACATAAATGTGACTAGTTAATTATTGAAGTCAGGGGTCTGCAACCTTTACTATTAAAAGAGCCATTTTTGACCAAAAATAAATTCAAAAAAATCACATGGAGCTGCAAAACACATTTGTGCCTTATAATGAAAGTAACATCACGTATTCTAAAGTCTAGTAGTCTAAATACACATTCATTAAGATGTTTTAACACAAGGTGGCTACTGTGCAGGGCACTATTTATGATTATTTGAAGCTTTAACTTTGCAGAGCTGGCAGTGAAAGCAAACAAATCCATCCCCACACCACTAAATTCTCTTTTTTATTCATAGATTTTCATTTTTTTGGATTTGGCATCCAAAGCTAACTAGATAGGGAGACTCAAAACTAGTCACTGCTGTCAAGGTTCAGCAAAATTTCAAGGAAAAGGTGCCAGGCAGTAGATGCATTACGTACATTTAAATTGTTGAAATGTTAAAACATTTTTCATTTGGTATATAGGCTTAACATGGAGAATGTACAAATTTCTTTCGGCATGCAACACTGATAAATGAAAATTCAAATGTTAAAAAAAAAGAAGTCATTAGTCATCTCCATATTCATATTGTTTTTGTCAAGGCCACAGGGAGCCACTGGAGAGGAGCTTGATGAATGCCGTTTTGTTGCATCTCTATGGTAACATTAAGTGATCATTTTTTGATCTGCTGTGTTCAAAGTCACACTTTTTCTTGTACTACAAATTTCACACTATGGACTGTGACATATGAGTGAGCAAAAGGCTCAGAGTTCATGGTGCAATGTTATAACACAGTAAAATGTTCCTGTTGTATGCATACTCCATGCAACAGCACACACTTTATAGAACAGCTGAACTGATAGTAAAAAGAAAAAGTGTGCAATTCAGATAAAACAGCCCAAAAGTCAGTGCTGACGTTATTTTATGTACTTTAGGTACTTACGTCACAGTGAATGTTACTTGTCATGACCAGTGGACTATTATCTAAAGTGATTTGGAAGTTGATTACCATGGCAACATTTGAAGCCTTGAAGCATTTGGGTCAGCCACAGAAACTGCAACCTTTTTCAAGACCTAACCAAACTGCTACCGTTTCACAACGTTAACCACCTGCTTAAAATTGCAGCCATTAGAGCATCTAATTTTAACATATTACGTGCCACTATGTAATGTGATGTTAAGAGGTCGTGGTCCTTTTTACAACAAATTCTTAATCCCAACTCATCAAACACTGCCGCTTTGTCAGTGGACCTACATGTCTAAATATATCTCAAAATGTATTTCGGTTTTTATTGGACATGTAGTTTCTACTCGTTACATGCACGCAGTCTTTTTTCAAAATGAACTTATAATATAGGTAAAACACTTCCTTTTTAGATTTACTTCCTTAGATTTAGGCAACAAAACTCCATTGTTAGGTTTAGGGAAAAAAAACCTCACACGGGAAACAAACAGCAGATTCATGGGTGAAAGTCCAGAATTTGTTTGACCCACCCATCCCCCCAGTTGCAGGCGACGTTACAATCTGACGCCACCCAGTGCATATAATACTGCCGAGAAGGGTGCCTCTGTGAGACCATGTTTGATGCCAATATCCACTTGACAAAGCGGTGGTATTTGACAACTTGTGTTGTTGCCCGCTGCCTCTAAAACTGACACACCTGGTGTATATTATACCCCCACAGAAGATGCCTCTGTGCATCTGTGTCTGCAGACATCGCTGACAAAGCAGCAGCATTTGAGGAGTCTAGAGTGAGAACAGGCTGAGATTCCAGTGAGATCCGGTTTGAAAAATACCTGAATTACTCAAAAAAACTGCAGTATTCATTTACACCTACACAGCTGCTCTGTGACAGACTAAACGTTTAACTTCAGGATCCCAACAGAGACACAGGAACCGACCCCTTAATCACACAGAGCTTTCTCCATCAACCTGTTAAAAGGAAATATAAAGTTTTGATGGGAGTGCAAAAAAGTTTAGCTCAGCAGCTTGATTCACGAGATTTTACTTTGCCAACATGTTCAGAGACACACTGAGTAACAGGATACCCTAATACTTCAATTAAAAGCCTAGTCTCTTTTACTGGCCTGGTGTAGCTACACATTTTGATAAATAAAGGCCTGTCTCAATTAGAAGCCTGGTCTGGTGGCCAAGCGGTTCACTTTTATAGAAGCTGTTTGGAGGTATGAAACTGGTTGTTGACAACCAACTTGAGCTAACATTAATTAGCTGGTTAGATCGTGCATACAGATATAAATATTTGAATTTTTCTGTCAATATGGAGATGCTACACATCATTAGCTTGGTTAGATTCTCAACAATCAATCATTCAGTCAGGTTTTACTGAAACCATGAGCACCAGAGAAGACTGTAATTCATTTAGATTTAACACCATGACAAAAAAACAAGACTCCCTTCCTCTGATGCTTTCATAGTCAAAAGTGCGTCTATTCCTTGATAACCCGCTTTTTTTCTTATGACATTTCTGTTTACACGTTCGAAATAAATAAGAAATCAAATCAAATCAAATCGAATCCAAGTTATGAGCATTGTTTTAACAGGATAAAATCGTGTTGTGTCAGTACGCTCGTGACCATATTTTTCGAGTGCAGTAAATCGAGGGTCATAACTTTCTTCTCTCTGAGGTGTTGTCTTTCGGCACTGGATCAAATTAATAATTCATAATTGATGTTTATTTTTATACAAGTAATATTCATACTGGTTCAAATAAACAATTTGATCGTATTATCCATCTTAACTGAGACAGTTTTGTGTGAAAGGAATTAAAGGCCTGTCCCAAGTTTTACGGTACTTCTACAAAAATGTCCTGAAGGAATCAAGGTGCTTTCCCGAGCGACTCATCACACTCTGAAGCAAATAACGCACAACACATGCTTAGGCAAAATAAACAGCACATTTTATATTAACCATCATTACAGGCTACAAACATTGATACAGGTACTGATCATTTAGCACACAATCAGATTCTGGACTCAGGCCTGATTTAACAAGCTTTCTGCTGATGAGGAGACCTGCGCGGTCTTTATTCCCACCGTCATACAACAAACAGCCTGTCAGTCTTATTCACTGCTCTCACATGAAAAGTGTGCAGCAAGTTGTCTTCCAAAGTACGCCTTAGGTTGAAATGAAACTTATCTGAAAAAGCCCCATTCTCCAAAACTTTGCTGAGATTTTATTATGACTCTATGTATACATGCATTTTTGAATTAAACCTACATTCAACCATATTGTTACGTTACTGTAAGTGCTTACAGCTTCACTTTATATGCTGCTGAGCTTGAAATCATCCCACTTCTCACTCTATCAACTTTATTACAAACCCAACCCTCACATTCAACAGTTCTGATTCATTCTGACCTCAAACTGCGACAAAACCCTTTTTAAAATCTGTATGTTGTAGCCACACACAGTTCATATTTTGTGTCCAAATAATGTAGTGCACATCTTTCAATCTCCTAAAAATCCATCTGCGAAACAAATCACAAACAAACCTGAGGATCAAACGTTTTCCCAGAAACAAAAAGAAGGCAGTTTACAGTTTGTAGAGTCCTAATCCACAGAGCCAGAGAGAGAAAAATAAAGAGCAGTTTAAGATATATTTGAGTCTTCAAAAGCAGACCTGAAGATTCACACAGTTCTTTATCCGAACGTCACAAAGCCTGAAGCAGGAAGACAATTAAAAACACATGGACACACACTTCCCCTGCGTGTTCCCGGGATACTTCCACCTAGACAGCTCAACTCAGGCTGGTACAATTGTTTTCAATGCTGCGTTCAAGACGCTGTCAGAAGTCTGGAAGTTTTAAGAATATTATAATAGAACTGCAACTATTATGTGTCAGTGCTGCAGCATGTAAATATAGACGCAGCAGCACGTGTTAGATACATATTAGCATTTGACACTTCATGCAATACTGAAAGCTGAAATGTTGTACATTTAGAGGTTATTAAAAGTATTGCTGTGTACTACTGAAAGTGAAATATTGCCTATTTTGGAAACATGAAGCACAGACTTCGACCAGGACGCAAGTGACAAACTTCCTGACTTTTCTTGAACACAGCATGAGCACCCTGCACGTCATCATTTTGTCATTTCTTGGCATTCATTGTGCAGAAATACCTTGTAGGGTCATACTGTAAGCCTGTCATTTATGGTTATTTTCAGATTTGAAACCTATCGGCTGAGAGATGATATGCTCCTGTGTTGGGCTGCAAAATTACACCACCTTTAATCAACTAAATCTGCTTGATAAAGCCATGTGCATGTGGTGGAGGTGTTCAGAGGGACTGAACACCCTGTCACTCCTCTGTGACTGTGCATTTTCTTTAAGACCAAAGGTCAAAGTTACACATTGACTTGCTTTTAAACATCTTCTCCCACATGACTGAGGAAATTTTGGAATTGACAATGCCAAAATGAACATGATAACCTCAGAGAATTAAGGACTAAGTAAAGAAACGCATCATGAAAATGTGTTTCCGTCTCTTTCTGGGGGTAAAAGTAACATCTGGTGAGTGTAATTTGGTTTCCCCATACTAAAGACAACCAGTAAGTGCAGTAAAAGTACAATTACTCAACTAGCTGCTTTCTTTTCTGGCAATAATATGCTCTACACAGACACACAGGGTGATCACAGCACTAACAGGATGTTGGTTTAGTGCTGCCTGGGGCTCCAATTTTTGCTCAAGTGAAATGGATTATATTTCACCTGTGAAAGCTGCAGCTCTCCACCATGGCAGGACAGCACTGACAACACCTGACAATGAGGTCACCTGGAGTTGAGCTGTGTGGTTTCACCTGTTCAGTTACATTCTGGCTCCCTAACGCTGCTGACACATGGATTATTGATTCAGATTGACCCTTCATTTAGCACAGGTAGTCCGTCCCAAAGCTCCGGCCTTGTGCCACTACAGGATGCACACACCAGACCAGCCCGAGGAAAAGATGACATGTTGCAGCAGCAGGTCAGTCAGGTGGATCAGAGGCAGACCTCCGGGCCCGGGTACGGCTCCCCTCCGCACCAGAAATCCGGCGGCTGTGAGATCTCCATGAGCCAGACCTCCTTCTCCTTTTGCTCTGTGTCTTTAACCTCCGCTTCTGTCAGGACTTTGTAATAGTGACAGTCTCTGCCCTCGTCCGGGTCGTACGGCGGGGCCAGGATGTCCATGAACGCCGTGGGGCCGTCCACGGCGTCGATCTGGTGGAGGTTGTCCCGGTCGGGGAAGAGGACGCACGGGCCGCTCTCCTCCGTTAACTCATTGGTGGAGCGGCGCAGGGAGCGGCGCAGAGCGCCCACCTGGGCCGGGGGCAGCGGGGGCAGCGGCGGCGCCGCCTGCGTGCTGCCGGCCGGACGCTCCAGCTTGTCGAAGCAGCTGATCCTGACCTTGCCGTACATGACTTTGAGCATGCCGTGCATCCCCGGGTGGTCGTGCAGCGGGATGGAGGCGCCGCTTTTCAGCAGAAACACCCCCATGCTGAAGTGGTCCGTCTCGCAGATGTGCATATACGTGACCGGGGGCCCGCCGTGGTGGTACGGGAGGTGAGGGGACACGCCGGGCGAGCTGCCGTCTGCTCTCCGCGGGACGAGCTTCAGGTCCGCCGCCCGCACTTCCGTCATCAGGCTCTTCAGCTTGCTCTGGTTCTCCAGGAAAGATTTACCCGCCTCTTCGCCGGCTCGAGGCGTGTTCCTGAAGGTGACCAGAGCCTGCCGAGCTATTCTCTGAACCATGGAGGTCATGTTGCTATCACCTGGCATCATACCGGAGCGAAGAACGACGCTGCCCGGTCTCCGGTTGTCGTTGGTTAGCTGCAGCCTGTAGCTGTAGCCCCTTAGCTAGCGCCAAAGATCGTCTGGGAACAAGATGGCTCACTCCGCAGGCACTGCTCCTCGGGTCTGTGGAAGTTTGTAGTACAAACTAATATGAGCCTGATTACACACAAAACTTAAAAAGTAAAAATCAAACAAAATAATAAAGTAAAGTAAAACAAAACAAAATACAATATAGAGTAAAATAAAATAAAATTAAATAAAAGTAGTAAAATTAAATAAACAACATTTATTCCCCAAATCTGAGCCAAATTGTTTAAAAAAAACTTAACTGCAGTGTCACTCCTATTAAATGTACTGATCTTCAACTCTTTTTTGTTTGCATTAATGCCATAATAATAAATTAAAATTGGCTGAATAAATCGACTGAAAAACTGAAATTTGTATAAAAAACTAAATAGTGGGAAGCCCTCTGAGGTGAGGGCCCCCCTTTATCCTTTAAAGGAGCAGAATGGTTTAGTCCGCCCCCTGCACTAGACTTCACCCCTTTTTACATAGCGATCTCGCTATAGAGCTGCTACAAAGTCCCTTCTTTATGCCTCCTTTGCATTTTTACACAGAACCAAACGACGGCAGCATGATGCTGCTTCAGGGTGTAATAATACATGGCATTATGGCTTTCCACAATCAACAGAGGTGTCAAAGGTGTGACATGTAGCACAACAGCGTCGGCCGCTTGTGTGACATAAAACTTATGCAGCAATGCTTTCTAAACTACAATGACATCAACGTGTCAATAACAATCATTTGCCTGTAATATGGTTGATGATCTCGTCCTCTGCTTGGAGGGTAAGGCACTCCAGGACCTCAATGTTCTTACCATTTTGCAGACATCTTCAGCTGATGTTCTTCTTTGAGTTAGCCGCTAACTGCTGCTAGCAGCTTTTTCATCTCCCGCAGTGGGTCACATGCATCATCAAAATGTCACACCCATCCTGTCCTTGGTCCTATCCTGCTAGATATGCTGCTTATACACACACCGTTTTGGCGCTGTTACTACCTCCGTTCCCATTTTGCTTTCGAACCTCATATACAGAATGGAGAGGTAGCATGACAGCATGATATTCCCACTTTAAACAGACAGGGGTTTTGTCTCTAAACATAGCTAGAGCTGAGTTAGTGACTGCTAATGCTGGTGGAGGACCAACGTACGTTGTCATGTCTTCTCCCAAGAAAGAGAAATTGGGGTTCCAAAAAGGGAAACAAAGCAAACTTGCTTTGTAAAAGAAAATTTCAAAAGCTGCACGAGAGCATGGGCAGATTTTGAGGCTAAAGGGGCGACACATGCAGACTTTGTGGTGGTTTTGCATCTCTTTGTAGTCGTTACGCATTGTTTTGTGGATTTGTGTCTCTTTGTGGTCAGTCTGAGTTTCTTCTTGGTCAGTACATATAACGTGTAACATTTGACATTTTAAAGGTGAAGGCTAGGGGGTCCCAAACACTTTGGGCCCCTGGACCTGTGCCCAGTAATCCATCCATGCGTGAGAGAGAGAGATGGATCTAGCGAGGAATGGTGGGGGGCCCACAGAGACTGCTTCAGCACAGGACCCAGCATTTGTTGCTACGGCCCTGTTTGGCACACAAATTGAGATTTAAATCTGGCCTTTTATTGTAAGAAAAACTAAATGAGAAACAGGATAATGTATGTTAACTAAAGCTTCCTGTAATAAATGCTTCAGTGAAAAATGAGCCAAATGTTTGTTTCATAAAAAAATGTATATTTGTCTTACAAAAAAATAGTGAATTGAAAGAATATTTGATTTTTTTTACTGCCTTTTTTTTTTTTACCACAAAATAATAATAATAATAATAATAATAATAATAATAATAATAATAATTAGTGAAAGCTACGATCTTATAACATCTTCCGGGTCCGAAATGAAGGCAGAGTGAGACCTCACATCTCTGTCCGTCTCTTTGGTCAGCTCAACACCACGTTCATTGACCGCTTGAAACTCATCGCTTATTGCTCCTTCACGTGCTCATTCATTCGTGCCATTTTTTGTTTACGAACACGCGAGAAAAACAACACAACAAACACACGATGCTGTGGATCAATGGGGGTGATTTTCAGACAGCATTTGTCTCTTGAACGGTCAGTCTTATCGACCCCAGTGCCCCATTTTTGAATAACTGTCAAACACGTCCGCACCAGACAGCGCTTCACCAGTTTACATAAAGTGCATTGTGGGATATGTAGTCAGGCGGCCATTAACACTGTGGTCATTGACACAAATAAGGTTTAATAAAGAAATTGACAACATAGGGCTGCTATTGCTGTCGCATTGCTTCATATAAACAACGATAATGTATATGTGAATGAATAATATTACCATTACATCCAAGTAACTGTCAAAGCAAAGCACTACAATACCCAGCATGCCACAGTATATTTAACTTTTAATGATCTTTGCCCTCAGGCATTACTCAAATACAGTCAACACAGTGTCCCAACTGTACTGATAATACATCTGCACTGGTGGGATTATATAATACCTTAAATAAACATCTATGATGTCACTGTCTCTGTTTATATATAGCCTGACATAATATGTTGGCAAGTGTTTGCAAACATAATAACCATAATTAAATGTTGATTAAAGGTCCACTGTGTAGGATTTAAAGGGGTTTATTGGCAGCAATGGAATATAATAAAATTAGAGTGTTTTCTTTAATGTGTAATCACATGAAAAAAAAGAATTGTTGTGTTCTCATTACCTTAAAATGACATAGGGAGCAGGTCCTGATCCAAGGCATGGATGTATTAAGACACCTAAATACAGCGTTGGAGGCAGGCAGCGTTCCAATGGAAGTTGCTTAGCGGCAGATGAAGCCAAAAAAGCTCTATTTTTGCGGTATGATTGGTGCTAATTCTGCATCACTGGGCCCATAGAGCAGGGGCACGAGACTTCAGCCAGCCGAGCCAGTTTCTGGTTATGTGCTTTGCTAACTTGAATGGGGATAAAATGATTTAATCTTGCAGCTTTCCTAGACTTTCCAAATGTTATTGTACTTAATGGACTGAATCCTGATGGTCCATCCATCTATTTACATCCGCTTATCCGTGGCTGGTTCGTGGAGGCAGCAGGCTAAGCAAAGCACCCCAGACATCCCTCTCTTAATGCTTTCCAGCTCCTCCTGGGGGACCCCAAGGTGTTCCCAGGCCAGAAGAGATATGTAATTCCTCCAGTGTGTTCTGGGTCTGCACCAGGGCCTCCTACTAGACTCACAAGTCAGTCTTTAGACATTTTGCTTAACTAAAGACTGATGACTTTCTCCCTGATTTTGTGTTTAGATGGGCGGATACAATTTCAGAGTTTAAAAAAACTCCCTACATTGCAGAACCAATAGTAAATCTGCAGGACGGTCCTTTGGTGGCTCGCTGAACTCTTGTGCTTGTAAACATAGTCCCACTAGAAACACGTATAGCGGTACAAAATGGCTAAGCTGCTCTCGCAGAAAACGCCGTCAAAGTTAGTGTATGTTTGTCGCGTTTGCGGCGACACATTCTCGCCAACTAAAAGAAACAAACATAATCTTTTACAAGGCCATGACTCATCCGTCCGGCCGGACTATAGAGGGAATCGCCTTGTTGTTTACAAATACTTCGTGTAGAAAACCATCTTAGTTACAACATGATTGAGCTAGCAAAGCTGTTTTGTGTTGCTATGTGTGGTATTTATTCAGTTTTGGGAAATCACGATGTCTAGACAGCATCAGCCAAAATACCGACCAAAACGGATTTTTATCTATCCCCAAAAAAAAAATCTGGATTTACATGATCAGTTGTGAAAACAATATCCCTGTTTACACAAAAATGCATTAACTGCAGCTTTTTGCTGCAATTAGCATGCCAGGCCAGTAGGTGGCGATACACCATAAGTCAAACACCGTAGAAGAACGTTCTGTGCATGCACAGTGATTTTTTTCCTCTTGGCGCTTGTGATAAAAACAATGATAAACTACATTTTAACCTTATGTAGCATAGTTAGCTGCTATGCACTTACTAATATTGGGCACAGCAAATGTGCGCCGATGTAGTGGTGATGTTGATGCAGCAGTGCTAAGTTCATAAGTAGTTTTTGAAAATCTCTGTTTTCGTCAAGTAAGTTCATAAGTAGTTTTTGAAAATCTCTGTTTTCGTCAAGTAAACGCCGGTTACATGATAGATGCAAACACAAAGATAAATACCCCTTTTCAGAAATATATGGAACCATATGAACAGGCCCTAAGGCTGAGCCCAGACACCCCACAGAGGAAACTCATTACGCCACTTGTATCCATGACCTCATTCTTCTGGTCACTACCCAGAGCTGATGACCATAGGTGAGGGTTGGGACGTAGATGGACCAGTAAATCAAAAGCTTCCTGATAGTGAAACAGTCATTTTGTGAGGGGGTTTTGCCACTCAAAAAAATGTATCCACTGATTCACAGGTGTCTCTTTTCCAATGTAAGTCTATGGGAAAAAGTATTTTTGGGCCCATGGCATCACGTTACGAACTAGGGAGTTGTTATCCCACTGTTTAGCCACTATAGTAATTGGCTTCAAAGCCCAGTTCACTTCCTGTGGGCCTGGTATACAGAGGCCGCCATATTGCACTACCATGTTTCCACAGTAGCCCAGAACGGACAAACCAAACACTGGCTCTAGATAGAGCTTGTCACGTTTTTGCGTTTTGCATCAGCCACTATAGTTAGAGAGCATCGTGAAACCGCTTTATTCAGTGTTTATACTGGTTTAAACTACCTCAAAAATTAGCTTTGGAGAAGAAGAGGCCTCTGCAGATAATTTGGCTCCCAGTAAGAAGTTTTAGCTGGTTACAATCTCCAGTCGTCGCTGCTAGATGCCACTAAATCCCCCTAAATCTTACACACTGCTCCTTTACCAGTCGAAATAAATAAAAGTGATTGATAAATGGTTGAAATGTCCAACTTCTGTCAGTATTCAAAGGCCTACAAATGCAAACGTGACCAAACCAGCCTACAATAACACTGACAGTTCAGTTACATAAATATATTGTGAGGAAACCTCAACTTTTACTTCCAGAAGTGGGTGTTATCTTTATCTATCACACTCTAAAAATGAATCTCTTTGGTTGTTTGGCTGTCTTTCCATCACACTGATCTAGCTGGATCAGTAAAATAAATTTTCATG